ATTTGAGCTCTTCTTTTCCAATTATTACTCTTTTAATTTCCTTCTCTTGTCTTATTGCTCTTGCAAGAGTTTCAAGTACTATGTTAAAGAGAAGTGGGGATAGTGGGCAGCCTTGTCTGGTTCCTGATTTCAATGGGAATGCTTCCAGTTTTTTTCCATTTAGAATGATGTTGGCTGTGGGTTTGTTATATATGGCTTTAATTATGTTGAGGTATGTTCCCTCCAGTCCAATTCTCTCTAGAACTTTAAACATAAAAGCATGTTGAATTTTGTCAAAGGCCTTCTCTGCATCTATTGAAATGACCATGTGGTTCTTGTCGTTGAGCCCATTTATGTGATTTATGACATTTATTGACTTACGTATATTGAACCATCCCCGCATCTCTGGAATAAAGCCAGCTTGATCATGGTGGATGATCCTTTTGATGTGTGTCTGTATGCGGTTTGCAAGTATTTTATTGAGAATTTTTATTTTATGTGTATGTGTGTATTGTCTGCATGTAGATAAGTGCACCCATGTCATGCAATGCCCAGGGAGGACAGAAGAGGCTGTTGGATTCCCTGGAAGTGGAGTTATAGACAGTTCTTAGCTGCCATGTGGGTGATGGGATTCAAACCCGGGTATTCCGCAAGAACAACCAGTGTTCTTAACCGCCGAGCCATCTCTCCAGCCCCCAGGGCCAGGATTTTTTAAAATTCCTCTTCTAATCAGACTCCAACTCTTCTGACTATTTAATTTCCCATTGGCTCTCCACCACTCCCATGGCACTTTAGATTTCAGGGTCTCCTCAGCATCTACTAAACATACATGCAAAGTTCTTTGCAGTTCTTGCTGCTCTGCACCAGTGCAGAATACAGATCATCTTGTTTACAAGTTTAGTATTATTTAATTTTCTTATTGTTGTGCCTAAGTACTGGAAAAGAAGCAACTTAAAGGAAGAAAGGTTTATTTTTGGTTTACAGGTCAAGGGGGATACAGTCCACCACTGCAGGATAGGCATGGTGGCAGGAGGAGGCAACAGTTGATTGCTTTGCATCCTCAAAGAGCAGAGGGAGATGAAGGCTGGGGTTCAGCTCTTTCTTCTTTTATTCAGTTCAGGACCCCAGCCGGTGGAATGGTACTATTTGCATTTAGAGTGAGTCTTCCCACCTAAATTAACCCAACCTAGAAAGTCCCTCACCGGACATGCCCAGAGGTTTGTTTCCATGGTGATTCTAGATCCTATCAACATGACAGATAACCACTTAGGCTCCGATTAACCCTCCTTCCTTAGGTCTTTTTCATTTTGATCTCTACTTGTACTCATTATTTTCTGTGACATTACTGTTATTTTTTGTACCACTAATGTCAAAGGCAAATACCTAGGAAGTCAGGCAGCTAGTGCCGCTGAGTGGAAGTGATGGACTGAGGAATCCACGCATTGTCCATGAAGCAGTCGCCTGTCTCCTCAAGGATATATACAAGTCAGTTAAAGAAGTTCCCAAATAAGGGCTGGCAATGGCTCAGTGGTTAAGAGCACTGGCTGCTCTTGTAGAGGACTGGGGTTCGATGCCCAGCACCCATATGGTGGCTAACAACTGTCTATAAGTCCAGTTCCAGGGGAATCCAACACCCTCTTCTGACCTTCGCAGGCACTGTACTTACATACATGCAGGCAATACACTCATACACATAAAATAAAAATAATAAATAAAATATTTTTTAAAGGTTCCAATTTAGCTTTCAAGAGAGGAACCTGGATTTCTTTTACTTATAGCCTCCTAATTACTTTTAAATATTGGCAATTAATGTAAATTTTTAATGTGGGGACAAATGAAGTGGATTTGAGAATCTGGGTATAGCCTTAGGCCTATAGTGTCATCTCCTCTGCTTTACAATTTGTATACTATCCGGTTTAAGACTTAATTATTTTCTAATTATTTGACCCGTTTTATTTTTGTTTTCTCAACCAAGGCCTCCATTGTTGACTATAACACAAGATTAGCAATAAATAATCATTGTAGCTAATCCATTTGTTAAAACATTTTTTTGCTAGGCATGGTAGCTCATGCCTGGAATTGCAGCACTCCTGAGACACAGGCAGGAGGATGGTGGTTAAGGCCAACCTGGGCTAACAAGATTCTGTCTCAAAAAAAACAAAACAAACAAACAAAAAACATATACACACAAGCACACACTTCCCCAAAAGAAAAGTAATTTCATAGAATTTACAGTGTACATATTAAACAAGATCGTAATTTGTGTTTTCTGATATCTTTCATTGCGTTGGGAACTGTTTCGTGGAAACATCCACTGTTTTTGTCCTGTCTCTCTGTCTAATCCTCATGTTCATCACAGTCTAATATCCCAACTTGCTACTTAATCAGCTTGTGACACACAGATTTTCCTGTGGAAAGAGGAAGAAGAGGTCATGGTACCTTTACATTTTAGTAATCACACTTGGCCATCAAGTAGCATAAATATGCTTAATTTGTAGATATTCACAGTACTTTACACATTGAAAATGCAATCAGTATTAATACTATTTATTCTTTGTGTAACTCTAAGGTATGTTTCCTCCTCAGTTGTGCTTGAACTGTGTTTTTTTAAATATTTTATTTATTATTTTTATTTTATGTGTATGAGTATATTGCCTGCATGTAGGTAAGTGCACCCGTGTCGTGCAATGCCCGTGGAGGACAGAAGAGGCTGTCAGATCCCCTGGAACTGGAGTTACAGACAATTGTTAGCTGCCATGTGGAATGCCCGTGGAGGACAGAAGAGGCTGTCAGATCCCCTGGAACTGGAGTTACGGACAGTTGTTAGCTGCCATGTGGGTGCTGGGATTCGAACCCGGGTCTTCTGCAAGAACAACCAGTTGAACTGTGTTTTTATATCAATCATTTCATCCTGCAATGTGAAACATACATAATTATGTCTCTAAAATCATTCTTAAATATAATACACATCTAAAAGAAGTTTTCATGGGCTTTTTGGTTGGGGAATTTAGAGTGAATTATAAACACTTATTATTCCTGCCATTTATACCACCTTCTTTCACACTGAAACTTCCTATCCAATTGCCATCATATCATTTCAGCAGCAAGCAAAGACATTTCATCCTGAAAACTTACCCCCAGCATGAGTAACTCTATTTGACTCATACTGCTTTGGAATGAAAAGGGAGCATATTTGAGAAACATTTGAGCATGTAGAGACTATTCAAACAGGATCTTTAATCTCAATCAAAAAGCCACAAAGATTTCTCTTAAGACAGAGCCTGTTTAAGCTTCCTCGTTATGGCCTTAACTTGGAAAGGAGGAAACGCAGGAATTGGAAGTACTGCCTCACTTTTCTTCTTAACTTGTGGTGGCCTTTCATGATATTGTGATGATTCAGGGCAAAAACTCAAATTGTCCTGGTTTTGTGGTTTGCTACAGGTACTCAGCGTGCCAATGCCCGGGCTCCAGCCCCTTACAAGCGAGATTTTGAAGCCAAACTAAGGAACTTTTACAGGAAGTTAGAGACTAAAGGATATGGACAAGGCCCAGGGAAATTAAAGTAAGTAGAAATATACAAACCATGTGATTGATAAATGGTGAATGGATAGGATGCCTTTTGGAGCTTTGAAAATTAGTTATGATTTGGGATATCACATGAGCCTTTGTTTTAATGGGTGTAATCGTTTTGGTATTTTAAAAATTATACTGTACTGCAAAGTAGTTCAGGAATTAAGCATTGGGATTTAAATCAAGCTGGGACTATGTTAAAATACAGGCAAAATTAAAAGCTACATTTTTTTCTTCTGAAGCGTACCTGTTTGCTGACCTATCTCGTATTCATGAGCTACAGAGTTCCTGGGCTGACCTGAAAATGATCAGTTTTTCTCTTCTGTCCTATGAAACAAACCTCACTTGTCCAACAGAATGTATCATGAATATTATTTCTGTCTCTCTTTCACCTCCCATGCTTATCAAGGGCTTATTTTCATTCCCAACATGCACCTCTTCCCCTCCTTCCTTCCTCTGCCTCAGTTCCATGTCCCCACCTAGGATAAGGCAGGGAAGGGAAGTCTCCGGTAGGGTACCATGTGACTCTGGGTACCTAAGAGAGGGCCAGAACTGCCACAGCCCCACGCGTACTGCCCCTTGCACAGGTGGGCTCAGTCAGTCAATCCCACTGGCATTGGCCTCCAAATGTGTCAGCCCTACGCGAACTCCATACCTCTCAGAATTGTACTTGGCTCACACTTGACTTACAAAGGTCTGGGCAATCCAGCCTTCCCAAGGTTCCTGGTCATCTTCTTGTCATCAGCATTTACGTTAAGGGTAAATTGGTATCTGTAATAGAATGACTTTAATTGTCTACATCCTAAGTACTTTGGCCACAAGCATCATTCGTTTTATCTACCCCTTAGGGAATCTCAAGATTTGCTTAATTTAAAAATTAAGTACAATTGTTTTATGTTTTGCTTTGCAGAACAGAAATCCCACACACCCAACTCTCTCCTGGTTCTCACTGATTCTCTGGGCATTTGGCAACTGAAGTCCTCATCTAGAAGCATTCCTGGCTTAATGCATTACCTCATAGGGTTCTTCCTTTAGTAAACAAAAGCCACCATGCGTGCGCACCGCGAGCCGGTGTGCGCGCGTGCCTCCGTGCAGGCGTGCGTCTGTGTGTATGTGTGTCTGTGTGTATGGGTCTGTGTGTCTGTGTTGTAATCAGTTTTCTTTTGGGATAAATGTCTTGGACACTCAGAAAGGACTCTGACAGGTCATAGGCCATCTGTTTTCTCGTGATTTTCATACACAACTCTTGCTAATGCTGTTAAGAATTAAAGACAGACGGTTGTGGTGGCATGTACTGGTAGGATTTGCTGAAGGAGGCAAGAGGATGTGGAGTTTGAGGCCAGCCTAGACTACACACTTTGCTGGGCGTGGTGGCGCACGCCTTTAGTCCTAGCACTTGGGAGGCAGAGGCAGGCAGATCTCTGTGAGTTCCAGGCCAGCCTGGTCTGCATAGCCAGTTCCAGGCCAGCTGGGACTACAGGGGGACCCTGTCTCAAAAAAGACCAAAAGGAAAAAAAAAATTAAAATACAAAATGTGTATTTATGCGCAAACAACAAAGATATTAAGCAGCTTCGGTTCTTGCCTAGTTGTTTATTATGGTAAATAGAAATTAAATGGCAAGTGCCAAGTTCTAGAAAGATAATGGAAGATAATCTGCATTTTAAAAATTCTCTCTTCATGAACAGGCTAATTATTCGAAGAGATCACTTGCTAGAAGATGCTTTTAATCAGATTATGGGCTACTCCAGAAAAGACCTGCAGAGAAATAAACTGTATGTCACCTTCGTCGGGGAGGAAGGGTAAGTGGAATAGAGAAGTGGCCCCTGGAACTCGGGCTATGACCACAGGACGGATGTTTCTCCACATCTCTGTAGTTCCTGAAACAGGAAATCCTTCTGGCAGGAAATATTGTTCTCATACACTTAAACATAAAAAAAAAAAAAAAGGCTTCCTCTGGTATTTAAATCATTTGACAGAAATTTTTTGGTTAATAACTCTTAGCTATGATTCATGTTTGGCAAGCAGAAGGCCAATTTGGTTGCTTTCCTCTGCATCTCTCTTTAAAAGGAGAAAAATAGAGCTTTAAAGGGAGTAAAACAAGGCCCTGCCTTTAACATCTAGTTTCCCACCCTAGAATGCTAAGTAGAATGTGTGTCACCTGCTAAATAAGGTCTGTTTCGGAATCACAAATTAGAATCCTTCTGTTCTACCAGGAAGCTCCCACAGCAATTAAGCTGGGGCCTTTGCTCCTATTTTTCCACCTCCACTTCTTCTCTTCCCTTAGGAGGGCAGCACACCTACCAATATAACTACCTACCATAAACAAACTATAGTATGACTCTTCTGTGAGTGTGCCATCCAGATAAGGGTTAGGAAACGAAGGGCTGGAGACTCCCACACAGTGTCTGGTACATCAGAATAGACACTGCACTTGCTGTGGATCACTTTAGATTGACAGCTTGCACCCCTCCTAAGCCCCTCCTTCTTCCTCATCTAAGGTCTCAGTACCTGCTTTGTAGCCCACAGCAACCATACAAAAATTTTAAAATGCCATGTAATTAAGCTCTGTTTGACACTGTTGATTTGGATGTTTACTTATTCAGCAGTACTGGGGAACTTAGGGTCTTGCATATGCTCAACTAACACTCTGAGGTATATCCCCAGCCCCTTTCTGGTTTTTATTTTGAGAGAGGTTCTCAACAAAATCCCTAATCTGGTTTTGAACTTACTCTGTAGCCCAGTCAGACCATGAAATTACTTTCCTCCTGCCTTAGCCTCCTGAGTAACTGAGACCCAGGCCTATGCTACCAAGCCCTGAGGTCTGGACCATTTTAAGAACACCCCTCTTAGTCATGTGTAGTAATGACAAAGATTAAGGAACTATACAAATCTGACTGTTCAGTATATGGTTGATGCAATTAAAGTATAAAATAACTTGTCTGTGTTAATGAAAGTAAAGAAGAACAAAATCAAAACCCAAATCCAAGCCTTTTGTCTTTCTTCCAGTATTCTTGTACTAGGATTTGAGAAGCACTCCCAACCTTCCTCTGTCTGAATTTCTTTTTCCACTTTGGAACCACTTCAGCATTCTAGCAGAACACACAAAGTTTAGACTGAAATTTGCCTAAAACACCAGCCTTTTAAGACTAATGTACATAAATGGGCTCATAACTTGTGTTAGCTTAAAGATACAGGTGCACAACTGAAAACAGAGGCAAATGTTGTCAGCCTCTTCATAGGTATGCATGGGATGCCAAGTATTTCCTTACAATACCAGTCTGGTTTGGATGACAGTATTTTTCTCTCCCAGAACTCCAGCTGCTTTCCTGCATTATTAGACCACAGAATTTTTTTTTTTTTTTTTTGACACATGATCTCACTATGTTACTCAAGCTGGTCTTGAACTCAGAAGCTCAAGTGATCTTCTACCCATGCCTCAGTTTCTAAAGAGCTGAGACTACAGCCCTGCATCACTATTCCTGGTTTAGGCCACAGTTTGTTAAGATCTCAGAGATATACTTGGAAGCTCTGATAATGAGGCTTAAATAGAACAGATGTTTGTTGAGCATGATCATCCTAAAGTGGTCTACCATAATCTGAACAGATAACATCTGTTCCCAGGAGAAGTCTCAAGCTGAGTGGAGCTGAATTCCTCTTTGATTACCACTGATGTCCAAGGCTTCCTGCCTCTGTCACCTGCCTGCTTCCTATGACACCAGAGCCAAAACTCAGAGAGGATGTTTTGGGGTGTGGCTTCAGTTATCAGGAACAATCTCCCGTTTTGGGGGGTTTTTTTTGGTCTTTTTGAGACAGGGTCTCCCTGTAGCCCCAGTTGTCCTGGAACTCACTAAACTCACTATGTAAACCAGGCTGGCCTTGAACTCAGAGAGATCCACCTGCCTCTGCCTCCCAAGTGCTAGGATTAAAGGCGTGCACCACCACGCCTGGTTTAGGACCAATCTCTTAATCTGCTCTCTGGACACATGGATTATTGAAAATGGATTTCCGAACTCAGCACTTCATGTCAGTGTTCTGTATAAAGCTGTTAGATGCAGACTATTTTTCAGCTGTGTACTGAGAATACAGTTACTGTTTGAAAGATTGGACAGTATTCTTGCACAAACTACATGAATGGTGAAAAAAATCAATAGTGACCATCACATTAAAAGATCATAATCTTTCTTTCGGGATTACAATAAATACCCAAAATTTTCCACTGAATTTAAAAAATAGAGGTTTTCTGTTACTTTCCCTTCCCCAGTTTTAGTTCTGTCAGAATGTATCATTTTCAAAGTAAAACACAAAAATGCCTATTACTCAGATCTTGGTTTCTAATATTCTTCATTAAAAAGCACCAGAGTTCCTTGAAGAAAATATTGATTCTAGGGGCAAGAAGTTTTCAAGACAGAGCCTAAATGTTTCATAGTGCCTGCCAGAAGTTCCCAAGCCCACAGGGATGGGAGAATATCAAAGGGGCATAGGAGCCAACAAAGTCCCCAACAGCCAAAGCAGGAACTATTTGAGTGACAAAACAAAGACAAAAAGGAATATTGAGCTGCAACTCAAAGTATAAAATAAGCACCCAGACTGATTAAATACCTGATCAAACATATACATAGATGAGAGAGAACAGGAAAATTTCCATGTAGACTATGTCCAAATAATTCAGCAGAAGTTCCTAAGTGAGAGTTGTACACAGGGGCTTTCTTCCAAATACTACAGCAGGTACGAGGGGGAAAGAAGAGAGTTTGTAGTGAAGAAACCTGACACTCAATCATGAGTCGTGTTGACAGTTTGCCCTTCAGATGATATGCTGAGACAGCGCTTTACCCATGTGTTCTTCCTCCCCAAATCCATCGTCTCAGTCTATCACGAGAACATCAGATAATTCACAATTGAGGGACATTGCAAGAACTGTGTACCAGTATTCTTTAAAATCATCAAGGTCATAAAAACAGAGGAGATGGCAGACTGTTATAGTCAAGAAGAGATAAGATGATTAAATGTAATGCCACTTCCTAGTTGAGATTGCAGAGCAAAAGATGGATATCAGGTGAAAGCTAAGGAAATCTGATAAGGATAAAGTGTACATTTTTGTTAATAGTAATATATTGGTACTGGCTCGTTAATATGTTACTGGTTTGCCTCCTGAACAATATGTCAATAACTGAACCAACTAGTTTGCAAAAAGAGAGTTTATTCATGAGGAGGTAGAACCCTGAGGCTCAAATCTGCCTGCCTAAGGTCAGGGTTTAGGGATATTTATGGGATAAAGAAATGGGGTGGTTTGAGGTTCAGGGAAAGGTGGGTGAAGGCAGGGAAAATTAAGTCATTGGTGCTCCACTCATACCTGGTCAGACCTCATGGCTCTTCACAGGACCCATGTTCAGAACATGACACCTTTAATGCACTCTTAGAGTTTCTGCCCCTCAAAAATGTCAAATAAGTCACGCTGCTGAGGCCTAAATGAAAGGTCAGTAGCTTTAGCTGCCTTGAGATAGACAAAAAAGACCTACAAGTTCCTGAAAAACAACTTAGGCAACCATTACCTCAGAGGTGCTATCTGCAGCGAGGCTAATGGGAGGTGCTGCCTGACATTCTAAAGTTGATGGTAAGAGCATGTGAAGCTAGAGGGCTTATTCAGGTTTCCATCAGTTTTATTTATAATAAACATTATACTAATACATGGTATTTATAAAATATATATAAGAACTCTTTGTACTATTGTTTTGGTAATTCAAAAATTTCTAAAATAACAGATTTGGCAAATGAAAACATTTGGAGAGATTTAACTCGTGTTTCCTTGAATGACTTTTCCTATTGCCTCATTGTTGGGGAAGTGACTGATGTGGAGTTGTTTGGGGTTATCTACAGATTTGTGTCATCAGTTAGAGGCAATTCTATAAAAAGTCCAAATCACTAGGAATATTAACATACAAAGACTATTATTTTGTGTCCATTTTATACTAGTCATAAGAGATTAATATCTCATAATTATCATTGATACCACCTCAATGATTTTATTTTGTATCGGACACAGACTATATTAGATTACCTAAGGTTTATGCCTTATAGAAAGTGGATTTGCTTTTAATAATGTATTTGACCTATATTCCAAAAATGTTCTAATTAGCAGAGTCACAGAGAGATTTCAGCTGTGCTTTAAAAGCTGTTTCTTTGTATAGATCTGAAACACAATATATAGCATTCCTGAACTAAGAAATCTGTAAGATGCTACAAAAGCCATTTGATGTAGAATTAATCCTGGACTATTGGAGACACCTGTCTTCAATTACAAAAATACAGAAAGTATCCTAGAGCCTATTAATGCAGATCTGTTAGAACAGCTGTTGGAATACACTAAAACAATTCTTTGTGCTATGCTTTGCTTCTTACAAAAAATAGATGGTTTCTAAGCACTGTCTTGTGATTAGTGGCTGAATTTAGCTAGAGTTGGGAGTTGTGTTCTAGTCACTACCATTTTCACCAAACAATCTGGTTATCATGCCTTACAATGTTGTGGGAGGGGAGGCCAGTACTGGCAGAGTAGCTGGAAACAGTCACCCTGATCAAGGGTGAGGAGAAATGCTAAGTAGGAGTTGCTCATTTCCACTGAGCCTCAGTCTGCATAGAAGTTGTGTCTCTCTAGAGAACAGCAATGAAATACCATATATTCCTCAGTGTGTTGTTTTTGTTATTTAAAGTCCTAGCAACTGAAGTTCATGTGATAACAGAAGTCAGCTAGGTTGACTATTGTGCTCTGATAAGGCATCTGGAGCCATTAACTTCTTAGTACCCA